CCTCCTCCTGCTCCTCCCCCATCTCCTCTTCCTCCTCCTCCTGTTCCTCCTCCTCCTCCTCGTCCTCCTCCCTCCTCCTCCTCCTTCTCCTTCTCCTTCTCCTTCTCCCCTCGTCCTGCTCCTCCCCCCTCCTCCTCCTTCTCCGCATCCTTCTCCTCTCCTCCTCCCTCCTCCTCCTCCTCCTCCTTCCCCTCCTCCTCCTCCTCCTCCTCCTCCTCCCCCTATCTCCTCTTCCTCCTCCTCCTGTTCCTCCTCCTCCTCCTCGTCCTCCTTCCCCTCCTCCTTCTCCTCATCCTTCCCTCCTCCTCCTCCTCCTCCTCCTCCTTCTCCTTCTCCTTCTCCTTCTCCTTCTCCTCTCCTTGTCCTCCTCGTCCTCCTCGTCCTCGCCCTCCGCCATCTCCTCTCCTCCCCTCCTCCTTCTTCTCCGCATCCTTCTCCTCCTCCTCCTCCTCCTCCTCTCCTTCTCCTCCTCCTCCTTCCCCTCCTTCTCCTCCTCCTCCTCCCCATCCTCCTTCTCCTCCTCCTCCTCCTCCTCCTCCTCCTCCTATCCCTCTCCCCCTCCTCCTTCTCCTCATCCTTCTCCTCCTTCTCCTTCTCCTCCTCCTCCTCCTCCTCCTCCTCCTCCTCCTCCTCCTCCTCCTCCTCCTCCTCCTCCCTCTTTCCTCCTCCTCCTCCTCGTCCTCCTCCCTCCACCTCCTTCTCCTCCTCCCTCCTCCCTCCTCCTCCTAGCTGCCGTCCTGGCTCAGGTTTTGGGTGCTGCTACCAGGTAGCGGCGAGCCCAAGCAGGGGCCGCTGCCATGCGCGTCGGCCCGACAACTAACGCCCGCACATCACAGTGAGAGCACGGGCCGACCGTGACACACACAGACGGCGACACCAGCAAGAACGCACGAGCCAGTTTGGCAAAGGCGCAAGCGCAGCGCCAGAGCCCAGGCGAGAGCACGGGCCCGAGTCGCAGCAGAAGCAGACCTCCTACAGAGGCATCACAGCACAATGCGCCATCACAACTAGTCTTCACACAAGTGCTCAGGGTGGCCCAGCAGCTCCAGATTCTGGGCGTGCTCGATGCGCAGCAAGGCAAACCCGCCAACGTCAGACTCTTGCAGATCCCGCGGGGTATCACACACTCAGAAGCAGACGAATGCAGAGCTCAGGGAGGAAGAAGTACCACACGAGGACCCACGGCCGTGGAGAGAAGCGTCACGCACGAGGCGTTGGCACAGACCCGGCCAGCAGCAGTGGCAACAGCAGGAGTGGTATCCTCGTGCGAGATCCCAGGCGCCCGGCTTGGAAGAAGCAGAAGGACAATAGCAAGCAGTGCGTGATCGGTCCAGCAGAGCCACAGGCCGCAGAGTCTCATAGGCGTTGGGTAGCGATGCCGAAGAAAACATCATGTTTGCAGAAGCGCCGCCTGCGCGTGACAAAAAGCAGTTGGATGCGATCGAGGAGCACTTGAGAGTTGGGTATGATATCGGTCACAAGAGAGCCATGTTCGCAGAATTGGAGACGGATTTCGCGGTCACCATGTCTCAGGAAAGGCCGCCAGAAGAAAGGATTGCGCATCAAACTCGGTGCGTTGAAAGATTGCAGAAAAGGCCCAACGATCTTGCCAATATTGAGGACGATGCCAAAACATATTATCAATCACGTCAAACGCAGACGGCCCATGTGCACAAAAATCCGGAGAAAGAGAAAGCGATCGTCTTACAGAGTGATTTCAAAGTTCTGACAACAAACGAGCATCCCAAACGTTGAGGACGTGGATGGTGATATGTCGGGCGCGCCGCAGGCTTGCCGAGTCAAGAAGAGAGCAGCAGATCCTAGCTCTCCCGCATCATCTGCTCCGCCCATGAGCCTAGTCAGCACAGCGGACACCACGCAGAACGCCACGTTGCCAGCCACGCTCGCTGCGATGCAGGCGAACACCAACAACACGATCATCCATTCCATGAAGCTGGTCGAGCAGATGGCTACAGCGCAGATAACGCTGACGCGAGCTGGCCCCGCACAGCCAGCGCAGCAGCAGCGGGCGACTTCGCCAGCTCAACCACAAGCAGCAGGACAGCCTCCAGCATCTGGCCCAGCCACGGTTGCTGCGCCAGAAGAAGCCAGATAACATCACGAGCCGCTACCATTGCAGGACGAGATGGCTCCGTCACCAGACGGGCAAGGACAGCCATTGGACAGCGCCATGACGACAGCCAAGCCGCCCAAGCCATCCCTCCAGAAGTTCCAGCAGGCCAGGCCCAAGGCCAAGGACATGGAAAAAGAGGCCAATGCCCGTTTCATGGAGGTATTCGCCAAGGGGTGGGATAACGTCAAGCAGCAGGAGGACGACGACGAGAACATGCCCTCCCTCAGCTCCCACGGCGCCTGCTCGAAGATCCCCAGCGGGTTCGCATGCCCCTGGCGCGGCCAAACGAGGTGCTGTCCGCTCCCAGAAGTAGACTCCACGCTGCGCATCCTTGCTACGCCATTGCCCGAAGGTCCCTGTGATGATATCATATCATGTGCTCCGTTTTGGCACGCAGCTACGATCCGGGGTCTGGCTGAGGTGGCAGCGCGAGCCGGCTCATGATGACCGACGAGGATCGACATCTACCCAGATGGATCTGCAGGCGGGCACAGTCATGCAGCCAGCTCCGACCTTACTCCCGCCTCTTGGGCTATCTGTGTCATTGCCAGCAATGGCGAACACGCGTGGCTTGAAGGGTTCCCAGCAGGGGTCGTCCCAGGCATCAGGGACATCTTCTCCTTCTCCGCCAACGCCGGGCTAGAGGCGGCAATTTGGGCTGCGAAGTGGTCGATTGCAGAACCTACGATGCATGGGTGCGCAGTCAGCTCCCACGGCGACAATGCAGACGTGGTCGGGCCGCGCAACTCGGGGTTACAGCAGGGGCCCTCCTGGGGCCCGAGGCCATTTTGGATGCGTCGGCGCAGAGAATTGCGCGCGCTGCGCACGATTGCGTGGGCACACGTGCCAGGTCACAGCAGTCACGCTTGGAATGAGCTGGTAGACGCTGCCGCGCGCCTTGCTTCGCACGGGGCATGCGCGGGCACGCCTGAGCGCGCATGTCGCGCAGCACTGGATTTACCGCGGCGCGCTACAGCGCTGCCGTGGGCATCCCCCCGACCCCCCCTCCGGCCTCCTGGACCTTCCTGGGGACCTGGGGGCGGTCGTGAGCGGGGGGGGGGCTGGGCCCTGGCGGCCCCCGACCCCCCCGCCCCGCCCCTGGTGGCTTTCCTCCCGTCTCGGGCCGCTCTGGACTGGGGGTGCACCAGGGTCGACAGAGCCCAGAGAGCGGGGCACAAAATCGTGACCCGTAGCACGCATGTCTTCTGCCGCAAGTGTGCCAGGTACGCCCGCGACAGGTGGACGGGCCGATTCTCCCCATGCAGCCCTGGGGCCCAAAGGGTGATCGGGGGTAGGCTGACACGGTTGTGGAATGGACGGTACCCTTCCACATACCAGCCCCTGTAGGGGCTCTTGGAGCTGAGGGTCTGGCTCGGGGACGGCCCGAAGCGGCCCGACGCTCCCACGGCACGAAAGCGTAGGCGGTCGTGATCCGTTTTGGCCCGCACTTATCCACTTATCCCCCCCCCGCGCGGCATTCGCTTGGCCAGGGCGATCCTGGGACCAGGATCGGTGCAATCGGATGCCTCCCTGGCCCTGCCAGGAGGGCGCACGTCCCGATCCTAGGCTCCGGGTGGGCCTATGAGGTCACCGAAAAAGAGAAACGCCATAAACATCAACATGTGGTTCTCCGCGCGGGTTTCTTGGAACTGCGCGGGGGCGGCGCCTCCGGCGCCCCGCGCGCCAGGGAGAGGGTTCCAGCGCAGATACAGGAAATCCGCGCGGAGCGCCAAAAGTTTGTGTGTATGCCGCTTACTCTTTTTTTTTAAGGTGCCCATATTCCTACCCTTTGGCAGTTTTCCCCTTCTGTAGGCCTCCTGGGAGGCCCTCGTCGCCACCATTGGGGGCGCCTCGAAACTCTGGTCAGAACGCACCCCAGGAGAGGTCCGGGAGGGCAGCGGCGTCGGTGCCTTGTTGATTTCCCCTTAGGATCGGTGCCGTCAGATGCCTGCCGGGCCAAGCCGAAAGGGCCCATGCCCCGATCCTGGGCTCCGGGTGGGCCTTGCCAACCCAGACCTCCTCGCGCTGTGGAAAAAATCACGACGGGAGGTTTTTCGCTATTTGCGGCCTCCCGGGGGCCCTTGCCAGGCCTCGGGACAGTTCAAAAACGACTCGGGATGCCAAACCGGTCCCGGGGAAAGGGCCCAGACCTCTGGGGGTCGACGCTGCGACAAAGTCGCAACGTCGGAGGCCTGGGAAGGACCAGTGTGCGGTCAGGGAGTCGGCCCCGCGCGGCGCGCCGACGGTTCTGGCCCACCGCGCTCCGGCGCGACGCGCTATCCACTCCGCGGCCCCCCAGCGGGCGGCACGCCATCCGCTGGCAGGGGATAGCACCAAGGGCTCCCCCGAGGGCGCGAAGTTATTCGCGCTTCGCGCTTCGCGGTCCTCGTTTCTCCTCCCCCTCCTCCTCGTCCTCCTTTTCTCCCTTTGGGGGGGCGGCGCGAGAGCGCGAAGTTATTCGCGCTTCGCGCTTCGCGGAGCGCGAAGCGCGAAGTTGGGAGCCCTAGTAGCACGTAGCACGGGCCGCCGAAGCGGCATGCCTTCGAGGAGTCGGCGGCGCGCCGTCTGAGGGGGCGAGGCCCTCTCGGGAGGCGGCGGGGCTTCTCGGAGGGCCTCGCGCCGTCCGAGAAGCTCCCCCGTGTCCCTGCGGAGGGCTCCGCAAGCTTCTCGGGAGGCTGGCGGCCTCCCGAGCCTTCCGAGGAGGCCCGCCCCCTTCGGACCTCCCCCCTAAGGATTTCTCACAAAACCTAAGGATCCCCAAGGATTTCCAGGGATTTCTCCGGATTCCTAGGGATCCCCAAGGATTCCTAAGGATTCCTGAGGATCCCCAAGGAGTTCTGAGGATGTCTTGGGTTCGCCGCCGGAGGAGAGGCTGAAGGAGGCGGACGCCTGGGAGCGCCACGCGCGAGAGGCCCGGAGGCGCCAGGACCAGCTGGAGCGGGAGCTGGAGCAGCTGCGCGGCGGCGCGGGGGCGTGCGGGGGGAGGCCGCTCTCGGGCCTGGGCGGAAGCGCCCCCCCCCCTGGGTGCTCTTCGACGACGACGACGACGACGACGACGACGACGACGACGACGACGACGACTACGACGACGACGACGACGACGACGACGACGACGACGACGACGACGACGACGACGACGACGACGACGACGACGACAACAACAACAACAAGAACAAGACGAAGACGACGACGGCGACGTCGTCGTGACTGGAGGCGGAGCGGAGAGATGCAGTTCCACCCGCGTTGCCTGCCTATCGAGGTCAGTTGGACACGTGAAGCAGCCAAAAGATACTCCCAGACATGCGACGTCTTGATTTTGTCAGGACTGGGTCCCCGAAAGTCCCGACCCGGGACGGGTTTTCATCCTTAATCGGTTTTTGACGCTCCCGAGGCCCTGCGAGGGCCCCCCGGGGCTGAAAATGGCCAAAAACTTCCCGTCCTGATTTTTGAACGACGCGATCATGTCTGGTTTCTTCTCTTCACCCGAGACTCAATCCAAGACAAATGTTACGTAGCCCGATGTGCGTTTGCCTTGTTCAGCTTCATCGACAGCGCGCAGCTTGTATCGGCCCTCGTTACACCCGCTGCGTCGTACTGAAGAGCCTCGGTCGCCGACGTCCTCGTCCGCGTCCTCGTTCTCGTCCTCGTCCTCATCCTCGTCGTTCGTCGTGGTCGTGGCCGCTGTCGTCCCCCCCTTCGCGCTCCCCCCTCCAGGCCGGAGGAGGCGCAGGCCCAGGAGCAGGAGGTGCCGGCCGCCGGGGGGCGCCCTCAGGGCCTGGAGCTCGCGTGGCGTGAGGGGGGGCAGTAAACGGAGGGTGGGGAGAGAAGCGTGCACCGGTAAGGGCCCCAGGGTGCCCGGGCCCCGGTTGGGGCACACGAGGCGCACCTTTTTCCCCAGACCCTGGGCGTCATGACTGTTCCGCCACGTCGACCCCCAGGCCTCGACCCATTCCCCGGGACCGGCTCTGCATCCCGAGCCGCTTTTGGCCGGTCCCGAGGCCCAGCCAGGGCTCCCTGACTCCAGATCCGCCATACTTTGGCTTTTGTTCCAACTTCAGATTGCGTCGGAACTCCACCTATAAGAAGCCGTAAAAGTAGGGCGGAAATTTCTGCACCCAACATAAAGTAGGGCGGAAATCCACAGAAGCAGGGCGGAAACAGCAACAGAAAAGTAGGGCAGAAATTGGCATCAGCGGGGCTTACAAAGCAAGGCGGAAATTCCAAGCCCTACCTACGAATTTCCCCAAAGTAGGGCAGATCCGGAGTCAGGGGGGCCCCTGTTGGGGCACAAGAGGCGCACCTTTTTCCCCCAACCCCGGGCGTCATGACTTTTCCGCCACGTCGACCCCCAGGCGGGACCGGCTTTGCATCCCGAGCCGCTTTTGGCCGGTCCCGAGGCCCAGCCAGGGCTCCCCGAGGCCGAAGATGGCGCAAAACCGCCCGCCGCCATTTGTTTATGACGCGCGGGGGAGTGGAGCCGGAGCGGCCGCGAGGAGTGGGAGCCGGAGCGGCTGCGCGCCGAGGCGGGGCCGCGGGAGCAGAGGGTCCGCGAGCAGCTGGGCGAAAGGGAGGAGGCTCGGCAGAGGAGCAGAAACGACCGACACACGTCGCCACGGCAGAGGGCAGAGTCGCTGCCCCCCCCTCCTCCTCCTCCTCCTCCTCCTCCTCCTCCTCCTCCTCCTCCTCCTCCTCCTCCTCCTCACCCTCCTCCTCCCTCCCTCCCTCCTCCTCCTCCTCCCCTCCTCTCCTCCTCCTCCTCTCCTCCTCCTCCTCCTCCTCCTCCTCCTCCTCCTCCTCCTCCTCCTCCCCTCCTCCCTCCTCCTCCTCCTCCTCCTCCTCCTCCTCCTCCTCCTCCTCCCCTCTCCTCCTCCTCCGTCTCCTTTCCACCCTTCCCCTCCTCCTCCTCCTCCTCCTCCTCCTCCTCCTCCTCGTCTCCACCTCCACCTCCGCCTCCTCCTCCTCCTCCACCTCCTCCTCCTCTCCGTCTCCTCCTCCTCCTCCTCCTCCTCCTCCTCCTCCGCTCCTCCCCCCCCTTCCCCTCCTCCTCCTCTCTCCTCCTCCTCCTCTTCTTCCTCCTCGTCCTCCTCCTCCTCCTCGTCCTCCTCCTCCTCGTCCTCCTCCTCCTTTTCTTTCCCTCCTCCTCTCCTCCTCCTCCTCCCCCCGTCTCCTCTTCCCCCCCTTTTCCTCCTCCTCCTCCGTCCCACCTCCTACTTCCCCCTCCTCCTCTCCTCCTCCTCCACGTCCTCCTCCTCCTCCCCTCCCCCCTCCCCATCTTCTCCCCCCCTCCTCCTCCTCCTCCTCCTCCTTCTCCTCCTCCTCCTCCTCCTCCTCCTCCTTCTCCTTCTATTCCTCTTCCTCCTCCCATTATGGAGCAATAGTGAAAGGAACCGGGAACCAGCAACCGGGAACCAGGAACCAGGAACCGGGAGCCGGGAACCGGGATCTAGGAATTCCCGGGAACGGGGATCCCTGTATGTGAGCCAGGAGCTGGGAACGGGCAACCGGGAACTGGGAGGAGTCCGGGAATCGAGAGCCCGGAGCCCCAGGGCCGGGAACCAGGAAGCGGGAGCCTGGAACGGGGAACTGGGAACGCAGGTCTTGGGACATGTGCTCGGGAAGTGGGGAACCGGGGGAGAGGGAGAACGAAAGAGAGTGATAGATCGATGCGTATATACACACATGTTATGTTTATATGTATGTATTTGTATATATGATGAGAGAGAGATTGAGAGAGAGTAAGGACTACATGGATTTCTATGCAGAGGGAGAGGAAGAGATAAATAAACAAAAGCAACGATTGGCAGAGAGAGGGAGAGTGATATCTGAAAATGTACTCCGAGATATCAACGCGTACAAACTAAACATTTGTAGTTGTACACGTGCGCACTTCATATACACGTATGTCTGCATGCATGTATGTATGCATGTCGTTGCAAAGAGGGGCGGAGGTACAGAGAGAGAAGGAGAGGTAGAGATAGTTACAGGGCTACGCCTGTACATTTATATGTGTGCCGTGTCAGGCTCACCTCATTATACTTGTACTCATATTCGGCCATATAACCATTTTTGTTTGTAGAGGACGTGTTATGCAGTATGAATGAGATGCACGGACTTGTGTACATACAAATTCTTATACGAGTGCATATAACATCGTGTAGCTAGATTTACAAAGAGAGAGAGGGATGCACCAATGAAACGCAAGTGCTTATAGCTGATGAGTAACTATAGATGTGTGCACACACAGAAAAATGAAACCGAAACGCACATGCATTTACACTTGTTTGTAGATACACGTAAAGTCTCTGCGAACTTGTACACACATGAATAATAGTATACATGTGTACGTCTTCTCACTGAAAGGTACATGAAAAATAGTATACAGCTAAATGTGTATACCTAGGTGTATATACACATATGTATACACATACACAGACGTGGGGACAGCGCAGAGACAGAGAAAGGGGACGGAGTGAAAGAGAGAAGGAGAGAGAGTGTAAGAGAGGGTGTGCGGCCCATACATATACAAGTATACTATTGATGTACATGTTACGCACGTGTAAATTGGCACGCACATGCATAGATATATATAGAGAGATATTTTATATAGATATGTATGTGCATGTATATATATGATACATGAGGAAACAGTTAGGGCAAGAGGGCTATGGGGCTATAGGGCTAAAGGGCTATATAACTATCAGGCGACGGGGCTATAAGGCTATAGGGCTATGGGGCTATAGGGCTATAAGGCTATAAGGCTATAGGGCTATTAGGGTTATAGGGCTAGTGTGCTGTAGGGCTATTAGGACCATAGGGCTATAGGGCGATAGGGCTACAGGGCTATGGGGCTATCGGAGGTGAGATCGGTTTCGGATGTGCCGCGCGTGCGGGCGAGGCGAAGCTGCGTGGGCGGGCGAGACATGTCCCGCCTCTGGCTGAGGCGCGGCCGGACCAAAAGTTCCCCTTCCGGCAACCGGTACCGCGCGGTGTCCCGCCGGTGTCCCGCCGGTGTCCCGTCGGTGTCCCGATGATGATGAGGATGACGATGTTGATGATGATGGTGAAATGATGGCCATGGTGGTGATGATGATAGTGTCCCGATGATGATGATGATGATGATGATGATGATGATGATGATGATGTTGATGTTGATGATGTTTATGTTGTTGATGATGATGATGCCGACGGTGTCCTTATGATGATGACGAGGGTGTTGATGATTATGATGATGTTGGTGATGATGGTGAAATGATGAGATGATGATGAAGATGATGATGATGATGATGATGATGGTGTCCTGATGATGATGAGGTTGATGATGATGCTGTTGATGATGATGATTGTGATTATGATGGTGTCCCGATGGTGATGATGATAATGACGAGTTTGATGATTTGCACGCACGAAACGGGTACTGAAAGAATGGGTACAATGCCCAACAGCGGATCTTGTTCATTTTGAACAGGGCTTGCTGTCCACACCGCCGCGGCCTGTGTCCATTCGAGACAGAAGGCCGCCTGCCCAACAGCGGCCGCTGTTGGTTTGGGACAACATCTGCTGTTGGGCATTGTACCCATTTTTTCGGTACTCATTTCGGGCGTCCAAGATGATGATGATGATGACGATGATGGTGTCCCGATGCTGATGATGATGATGATGATGATGATGATGTTGATGATGAGGATGGTGATGAGGAGATGATGATGATTTTGATGGTGGTGTCCCGATGATGATGCTGATGTTGATGATGATGGTGTCTTGATGATGATGACGATGGTGACGATGATGGTGGTGTCCCGATGATCATGATGGTGATGATGTTTCTGCTGATGATGATGGTGTCCCGGTGACGATGTTGATGATGTTGTTCGTGACGATGGTGATGGGCAGATGATGATGGTGGAGTTCCGAACATGAGGATGATGATGGCGTCCCGATGATGATGATATCTATAATGATGGTGACGATGATGGTGTCCCGATGATGGTGATGATGATGGTGATGATGATAGCCATGGTGGTGATGATGATGGTGTCCCGATGATTCTGATGTTGATAGTGCTGAACTTGCTGATGATGATGGTGTCCCGATGATGATGATGATGTTGATGATCCTGATGATGTCGGTGATGTTAACTTGATGATTGTGACGAATATAGAGATGATGATGATGATGATGATGATGACGGTGTCCCGGTGATAATGATGATGATGATGAGTATGATGATGATGTTGTTGATGATGATGGTGATGATGATGGTGGTGTCCCGATGATCATGATGATGTTGATGATGATGACGGTGATGGTGTTCGCTGATGATGATGTTGATGATGAGGATGAGGATGAGGTGATGATGATTCTGATGATGGTGGCCAGAGGATGATGTGGATTTTGATGATGATGGTGTTCCGATGATGATAATGATGGTGATGATGGTGACGATGATGATGGTGTCCCGGTGTTGATGATGCTGATGATAATGACGTTGCTGATGATGATGATGGTGCCCCGATGATGATGATGTTGGCGATGTTGTTCATGATGATGATGAGATGAGATGATGATGTTGATGATGATGTTAGTGGTGTCCGGGTAATGATGATGATGGTGTTCCGATGATGATGTTGTTGATGATGATGATGTTGACGATGATGGCGTCCCGATGATGATGATGGTGGTGATGATGATGAGGTTGATGATGATGGTGATGAGGCGATGATGATGATGAGGGTGTCCCGATGATGATGCTGCTGATGTCGTTGATGATGATGATGATGATGTCGATGATGATGATGATGATGATGATGATGATGATGATGATGACGTTGGTTGTGAGATCGGTTGCGATATCGATAGTGATATCGATTGTGTGACCGAACGTGAGATAGTTTGTAAGATCGATAGTGAGATCGATTGTGATACCGATAGTCATATCGATTGTTATTTCGATCGTATGAAATAGATCGGGTGATATCGATTGTGAGATCGATCGACTGAGATCGATCGAGCGAGACCGATAGTGAGATCGATAGTAAGATCGATAGTGAGACCGATCGAGTGAGACGTTGGTTCCTCCCCCCCCGAACCTCCTTATCACCCGAAGGATGGTCTTATAGGTAGGGCTATAAGGTTACAAGGCGAAAGGGCTATAGGGCTACCGGGCACCCAGGCACCCGGGCACCTGGGCACCCGGGCACCCGGGCACCCGGGCGTGCCGCCGAAATCGGCGCCGCACCTCACCCAACCATATGAATCCGTTAGGACCCTCACAGAGGCAAGCTCTGTTCGGGGAATATACATGGGAAGAGAGAGAGAGAGAGAGAGAGAGAGAGAGAAAGAGAGAGAGAGAGAGACAGAGAGAGAGAGAGATGGAGAGAGGGAGAGAGAGAGAGAGAGAGACTGGCGCAGACACGAGTTCGCAGATACGAGTACCGCAATTGTGAATATCGTCTTCTGTGGCGCTCTCCATGGGGCCACACACCCGGGTGGTGGGCGTGCCGAAAATGGGTGGCGGGGACTCATGGGAACGTCGCCACAGAAACCTTCGGTGAAGCTCCCGATGGGGCTACGAACCGTGTGACGGGTGTGCCGACATGGGTGGCGGGGGCGCATGGGAACGTCGCCACTGGGGCCTTCAGTGGAGCTCCCTCGGGGGCCATGAACCGTGCGAGGGGTGTACCAAAATGGGCGGCGGGGACGCATGGGAACGTCGCCGCTGGAGCCTGAGGTGGAGCTCCCTATGGGGTCACGAGACGTGTGAATGATGTGCCAACATGGGTGGCGGGGACGCATGGGAACGTCGCCATTGGAGCCTTACGTGGAGCTCCCTATGGGGCCACGAACCGTGCAAAAGGTGTGTCAAAATGGGTGGTGGGGACGCATGGGAACGTCGCCACTGGAACATTGGGTGGAGCTCCTTCTTGGGCCACGAACCGTGTAAGGGGTGTATCAAAATGGGTGGCGGGGGCGCATGGGGACGTCGCCTTTGGGGCCTTAGGTGGAGCTCCCCATTGAGCCACGAAAGGTGTAACATGTGTGCCAACATGGGTGGCGGGGATATGGGAACGTCGCCACTGGGGCCTTAGGTGGAGCTCTCTATGGGGCCACGATCCGTGTGAGTGTTGTGTCAAAATGGGTAGCTGGGACGCATGGGAACGCTGCCATTGGAGCCTTAGTTGGAGCTTTTTGTGGAGCTGAACCGTTTGAGGGGTGTGCCAAAATGGGTAGCGGGACGCATGGGAACGTCGCCAAGGAGCCTGAGGTGGAGCGCCCTATGGGATCACGAAACGTATGAAGGGTGTGCCAAAATGGGCGGTAATGACGGCAATGATGTTGATGATGGTTAATGGTTATGGGAGGAGGAGGGAGGAGGAGGAGGAGGAGGAGGAGGAGGAGGAGGAGGAGGGAGTGAGGAGAGAGAGGAGGAAGGAGGAAGGAGGGGAGGAGGAGGAGGAGGAGGGGAGGAGGAGGAGGAGGAGGAGGAGGGGGGAAGGAGGAGGAGCAGGAGGAGGAGGAGGAGGAGGAGTAGGAGGAGAAGTCCGGCGCCCAGGGTCGGTCTCCCGAAGGCCGCCCGTGTATTGCACACGCCCAGCCAACGAATTACCGCCCGGAGAGCAGCAACAGCTGCGCAGGAAGGGCATAGGGGGTGACCACGTCGCCTGTGAAGACTCGCGGCCCAGCGGTCGCGACATGGTGCGTTGGGAGCCAAAGGCATCTCAGTCGGAACAGATGGCACGGCATACTGAGGATCACAAGCTCCCCAGCCCTGGGTGGGCACAAGGCCCCTTGGGACTTACGTGGCACAAGCCATCGCCTCCCAAGGAAATGCCGATCCCTGAGGGTCAGATCACAATGAAATGACCGCACAGGCGCCGCTACCCACCTTCACCAGCAGGGCCAGGCTGAGACTGGGGCCGTGCTACACCCAACGACTCGAGACCCGTCGATACAGGTTTCGAAACGTCCACCCCAAGCCCCAGAGCCCGCGGTTCCAGAAAAATCGACCGGTTGCACCTCGCCCAACCTGCGAAATAAGTGCCGTGTACAGTGTGCCCCGAGGGCCCCGGAGGAGGAGGAGGAGGAGGAGGAGGAGGAGGAGAGGAGGAGGAGGAGGAGGAGGATGAGGAGGAGGAGGAGGAGGAGGAGGAGGAGGGGAAGGAAGGAAGGAGGAGGGGGAGGAGGAGGGAGGAGGAGGAGGAGGAGGAGAAGAAGAAGGAGGAGAAGGAGGAAGAGGAGGAGAAGGAGGAGCGGAGAAGAGAAGAAGAGGAGAACGTGGGGCGCTGTCTTTTCAAAACGAGGACCCAACACACCAGGATGGTTGGGAAAGAAACAGAAGTGAGGATCATCAGCAAAACAAAATGATTGGGAGAGGAAGAGAGAGGAGAGAGAAGCAGAGAGAGGAGAGAGAGAGAGAGAGAGGGAAAAAGAGAGAGAGAGAGAGAGAACCCTGACTCCAGATCCGCCCTACTTTGGCTTTCTCCCCACTTAAATTGCGTCTGGAAATTTCTGCATCCAACATAAAAGTAGGGCGGAAATCAACAGAAGTAGGGCGGAAACAGCAACAGAAAAGCAGGGCGGAAATTGGCATCAGCGGGGCCTGAAAAGTAAGGCGGAAATTCCAGGCCCTACTTACGAATTTCCCCAAAGTAGGGCGGATCTGGAGTCAGGGAGGGACCAGGAACCGAGAGTTCGGAACCGGGAGCGGGGAACGCGCGAACCCCGGAACCACGAACTGGGAACCGGGAGCCGGGAACAAGGAATACCAGGAGCCGGGAACCAGGCACATGCGTTATACAGGGAACGGAGCCGGGAGCCTGGAACCGGTAACCAGGAACCCAGATCCGGGCACCCAGAAACGGGAACCGGGATCCAGGAACCGGGAACCAGGAACTCATTGATTATCAGACCTTGTTTTTTCTTCCTCTTCCTCCTCCTGCTCCTCCTCGTTTTCCTCCTCCTCCTCCGCCTCCTCCTCCTCCTCCTCCTTCTCTCCCTCCTCCTCCTCCTCCTTCTCCTCCTCCTCCTCCCTCCTCCTTCCCTCCCACTCCTCCTCCTCCTCCTCTTCCTCCTCTCCTCCTCCCTCCTCCTCCTCCTCCTCCTCCTCCTACTCCTCCGCCCCCTCCTCCCCCCTAGCTCCTCCCCCTCCTCCTCTTCCTCCTCCTCCTCCCTCCTCCTCCTCCTCCTCCTCCTCCTCCTCCTCCTCTCCCCTCCTCCTGCTCCTCCTCCTCCTCCTCCCTCGCCTCCTCCTCCTCTCCTCCTCCTCCTCCTCTCCTCCCTCCTCCTCCTTGCTTCTCCCCCTCCTCCTCTTCCTTCTCCTCCTCGTCCCTCCTCCTCCTCCTCCTCTCCTCCCTCCTCCTCGCCTCCTTCTCTCCCCTCCTCCTCCTCCCCTCCTCCTCCTCCTCCTCCTCCTCCTCCTCCTCCTCCTCCTCCTCTTCCTCGCCACGGCTGGGTTCGCCCCGAGGTCCTGGTCCAGAGCGCGCCCCTGGAGCCGCGCTGTGCCTCGCTTCGGCGGCGAGCCCTGGGGGGAAGCGGGAGGAGGCGAGCCTGCTCGGGCGGCGGCGGGGTTTCTCAGCAGCCCTCGCGCCTCCCTGGAACCCTGAGGTCCGACACTCTACCAAACATATGGAGCTGGCGTTTCTTTTGCATTGTTTTCGGCCTCCTAGGCGCCCTCGCCAGGCCTCGGGAGCGTCAAACAACGATTCAGGACGAAAAACCGGCCCTGGGGAAGTGGTCCGGACCTCCGGGGCCTACGCATCGAAAAATTGAAGCAGCCATGGGTCCGGGGACCCTGAGGCGCGACGCTCGAAAAAAGAAATGGAGCAGGCGTTTTTTTTGCCGTTTTCGGCCTCCGGGGGCCCTCGACGGGCCCTCAGGAGCGTCAAAGAGCGACTCGGGGCGAGAAGCCGGCTCCAGAGAAGCGGTCCAGACCTCCGGGGCACACGCATAGCGAAAACATTGGAGCAGCTGGATGTCTGGGTGAAGCCGCCTGCGTCTCCGGAGAAGGCTCCGAGGACTTCTCCGAAGGCGCGGGGGCTCCCGAGAGGCCCCCGCCGGCGTCCGAGGAGGCCCGGCCCCTCTCGCGTCCCCCCCCCCCTCTGCCCCAGACCCCCGACGTCGTGATTTCTTCACAGCGTAGACCCCCAGAGGTCTTTCGGAGGGCACCAACTATACACCAACACCGATCCTGGCCCAGGATCACCCTGGACCCAGGATCGGTGTATATGCCTTCTTGCGCAAGGCAGGAGGGCGTATACACCGATCCTGGGCCCAGGGTGATCCTGGGCCAGGATCGGTGTTGGTGTATAGTTGGTGCCTTCCTAGTCTTGACCCTTTCCCCGGGACCGGCTCTTCCTCCTGAGTCGTGTTTTGACGCTCCCGAGGCCCGGTGAGGGCCCCCGGAGGCCGAAAATAGCGAGAACCTCCCGTCGTGATTTTTTCACGACGCCAGGGGGTCTGGGCCCCCTGCAGGGCTCGCCGCGGGTCAGCAGAGGAGCACGAAGCGATGCCGCGGCCCAATTCTCGTCGCCACGGCCGGCTCCGCCCGGACACGCCGGCCAGAGCGCGCCCCATGCGGAGGCGCCGTGCCGTCCCCCCAGAGGCGAGCTGCCAGCGGCCGGAAGAGAGGCCGAGGGAGGCGTGTGCTTGCGAGGCCTCTCGGCCGCCTCCTCCTCCTCCTCCTCCGCCTCCTCCTCCTCGTCCTCCTCCGCCTCCTCCTCCTCCTCCTCCTCCTCCTCCGCCTCCTCGCCCAGCGTCCTCCTCGCCGCCCTGTTCCAACCTCCTCTTGGCTCTGCCCTCCTCCGTTCTGGCCCGCCTCGCTCCTCTCTCCTCCGGGCGGAAGGAGCTGCCGATACCGCTGCGTTCCTCCCGTCGCCACTGCTGGATTTGCCGCGCAGTTTGGATCAGAATGCACTTCGGGTGATGTCTTGGGAATAGCGGTATCGATGTTTTTATGTTCCCCATCTCCCTGTCGCATCCACCGTCCTTCTGATCCTCCTCCTCGCCGCCCTGCTCCAATCTCCTCCTGCTCTGTCCTCCTCCGTCCTTGTCCTCCTCGTCCCCCCCCCCTCCTCAGGGCAGGAGAGGATAGTGGTACCACTACTTTTCCATCGTCGCCACGGCTGGAGTTGCCTCGCAATCCTGGTCAGAACTCACCCCAGGTCTATAGAGAAGCGGTATCGGTATCATTAGTATGTTACCAAATGTTCTCCATACTGCGAGGCGCTTGGCTTCATTCCGTCATGCGTATAAGCTCTTCAGCATCGCCCAGTCTCATCTCATGGGTGCCACTTGAGCTGCCTGCGAGCTGCCCGCCGTCCCACTGCGCAGTGCAGGATGACGCTGCCTCCGAAGCGACGTGCGTTCGTTATCCTCCTTCTCCAATCCTCCTCCTCTTGCTTCTCCTCCCCTTTATCCTCTTCCCTCCTCCCTCCTCCTCCTCCACCTACCAGGTCGCATGGCCCATCTGGGCCACATGTTCTCCAAGGACCACGTCTTCCTAGCTGGTACTCTGGAGACTCGTTTCCCACGTGATGGCTATTCTACTGTAGGAGATTACCACGTGATTCACGCCAGTGATGACGCTCACTGCCGATATGGTTGCTCATTATGGACAAATACGAAGTGCGCATGCAATGGGTTTTGCCGGTTCACTGCCAAACACTGCAAGGCTCTATTCGTTTCTCCACGCTTGCTCATCGTTGCCATCCGTCATGGCACTTTCAATTTGAATGTGAGCATCGGGCACACTCCCCACAGTGCAGCTGGCAAGGCGTCGATCGATGCTTGGTGGGCCTCATTTGACCCAGGTCCTCACGCTTCCGACACCTACTCGATCCCGGTTTTCCATAGGTAGGTACACCTGCTTGACTTGGGTTCAGCGTTTCAGAAGCCATTGGCAACGTGCACTGGCCAGTGCTTTCACGAGGCCGTCTTAGAACGACGGCTCTGGTTATTCTCTCCTCAAGTTCTAGTGGGGCCACCTGGTTTGCCCCTACAGGCTCCAATCTCAAGAAAGGCCGACCTCTTGATTACATAGTTGGTTCACGCGATGTTCTAGTGCGTCAGACGGAAGTCAAGGACGATGTCGACTTGGCCATTTCCATAGTGGATCACAAGGCTGTGGGGGCTTTGCTCCAAACCCCTTCTCCTTTTATCAAGAACCGACAAGAAACGGAGTATACTAAGATCAAGTGTGACCCGTCAGCTTTTACCGATGCAAGCAGTGCAGGATTTTGCTGACCATGCCGCCCCATTCGCTCCATGCCCTGATTTCTCAGCACATCCCAACGATCATTGCCAGATGTTGGCCGATCATCTCCATTGCTCGCTTCCCCAGTTCTTTCCGCCCAAGCGTTCGGCTAAAGGGCGCTCTCAGAGGCAGGCATGGATTTCTTCAGTTTCGCTCGATCGCATGGACGCTCGAGTCAACTTACTACGGCTTTTTCGCGGAGTGCATGCACATTGGCGCAAAGTTTACCTAGCCATGTGTTTCCGTGTCTGGGCCGTCCCTACTTGCACTCCATGGGTCTCTAAGAGGAACCAGTCTTGGGTTACCAGTACGCGCAGACTGACGCCGTCCACCCATTATCCGTCATGGTCTACTTGGCTCCTTAAGGCTTTTGAGGTCTCCCATTGGGCTTGGATTTCTCTACAGGATCTTCTGCGAGGGATCCTTACGGACCCTCTTCAGGACAAATTTGGGAAGTCTCGCCGGGGCATCCTCAAGGCCAAGTGGTTACACCTGGAGGGCAACAGCGTCAAGGCTCCTGCTATGGGATTACCTACGGGCTTCCATTAGGCCCAGTGGGGTTTCCTAACTTTACGTGTATTGGCGAATTGCTATTTGGGGTTCATCATCTGGCTGCTTGCACACACGCGCACAGGCACCTGGCTTTGGCTGCCTCCACCCACTACGTCAACCTGTAAGTACGAGCGGACGCTAGCGCCCATTATTCGGACATTGCCAGTGCGGTCACCAGCGCTTGATCGTTCAAGGATCTTTCAAGGGCCCACGCACGTTTGAAGCACATCGGAGCTTGCTCGCGCAAGATGGCGGGTTCCAAGCCATTACCCATGTTTAGAGGTTTCAATGTCATCCAACTTGCAGCAGAGAGCGAAGTTGCGCTCACGTGGACCCACCACTTCGCTTCCAACGAGGCAGCAGCAGTCATCCAATTTGCTGATTTGGAGTGGCTTTCCAGTCTTATCCCAGATCGCCCGGACTCCTTGGCACACGACTTGTTTTTTTTTTTTTTATCCGGACCTGCCAATTATCAGTCAGTCGGAGCGAAGTTGCACGCATGCCAGGAATGCCGCCGATGGCTCCGGCGGCATCACAGGGCGAATGCTCGCCAAGCTTCACCGTCATATCCCCAACCTCCTCTTCCCCCTCATCACCAAGTCTCTCCTCGGAGTTCAGGGGCCCATCCAGTGGAAGGGAGGATGCTATTGGTCTTTGTTCAAGAAAGGGGGCCCTGGGGATCGCAATTGCCACCGATCTATTCTGGGCTCATCACAGCTCGGCAAACGTTCCAGGTCCTTATCGAGAGCTCAATTGGCCCCTTTCCTCCACGAGGCTGCTGGGCCACGCCAGTGTGGAGGCGTGCCAGGCGTGGGCGCAGATCATGCAGCGTTGGAGCTTCGCTTGTACTAGCAGCTCGCGCAAGCGCTAGGTCTCTCTGCCATGGTCGCCCCTTCGGATGCGGCGCAGGCCTTTTGCAGGTGCCTCAGAGAGCTGATCTTTACAACCGCCTCTTCCTCTTTTCCTACTGGTACTACTAGGGTGCTATTGTGGGCTGGTTTATCTTGGCAGGCGGCTAACAAGCTTGCCCATTATGCGGTTAGAGAAGGTCCCGTGTTCCATGCTCTAGGTCTACCCAGGAGACTTCAGGCACTTGTGGCTGATGCATCTCATGGCTCTAGGTTTGTGGTTCCAGGCAGCGAACGCATTGCGTTTCCAGCTATCGGCTCCGCACCAGGGCAGCAACTAGGAGATATCATATACATTTTTGTCATGTCCTCCATCACGGCGCTCGTGCAGGCTCGACTGCTAGACCACCTCTCAGTCTCACTCCGCTGCGTAGTAAGTTGATCGCACAGATGCGGTCTACGCGGGGCACAGTATGGACATGGCCTTTTATGACGATTCCTTGTTCATGTTTATGTGCAAGGCCCAGACGTTGCTAGCCATCGCTCCATTCGCTATCAATAGCATGTTCGATTCTCTCGCCGAGACAGGCATGGGGCTGCGCGCAGGCAAAGGCAAGACGGCCGTTGTTTTTCAATTTCGCGGCCCAGGTTCCCAGCGTGCCAAACTGGCCCTTTGGAAAGAAGCCGAGGGCGTCATCAATGTCAGCGCGCAGGCGTGCGGCACGCTCGCTTTCCACGCGGTCAGACAGTGCGCGTTTGGGCACTGTCTTGGGCGAGGGGGGCAGCACGGGGCCCGAGTTGGCCCGTCGGGCCCGGTGCTCCTCGGGGTCCTGGTCTATTTTGCGCCGAGCAGCAGATTGGATTTACTCTAGCGGATTATTTGACATCATCGGGCCGTCTATACAAGTCAGGTACATGGCCACCACTCACCACAGCACAATACGCCAGTCTTGCCGGCGACATCGCGCGCATGTATCGAGCTGTCACGCGCAAGCCGCGCACCGACGACGTTGCCTTAAGCGACGCGCAGGCGCTGAGCTTGGCGTCGAGACCGTCGCTGGACACGCGTTTAACTGTTCATCGGTTACGCTGATTCGGCCGATTGCTCTGCAACGGCCCCTTCCATCCCACGGTGCTAGCAGGGGCTGTTCACCGAGAGCCCCCTCCTGATCAGCATTCGTGCGTCAGACAAGCGATCGAGGATTTCCAGAACAGCTCAGGATTGACCAGATCCCGGGGGTGACCTTGTGCCATGGGAGGCATTTGCTTGCGGGTTATCCGCGGTGCTCTCACGCGCGCCATTGCCCACCGCCGGCTCAACACCATAGCGGAGAATGCCATGGGCGCGATTTTCCAGATACTATATGATGCTGGTGTTCCTAGGCCCGTCTCTGGCCCCCTTCGCCCCCTTTCATGCTCATGAGACTTAGGAGGCCCCCCAGTTCAGATGCTTGTGGCGCCCAGCGGTTTTCACTTTGCTTCGCGGGCTCCGTCAACATATAGCTCGCGCGCAACGCCCTCGAGCGCGCCTATATGCAATGCCCTGGGCCCTGGCACAGCCTGCACACATTGCCACATGGCATCCGCCAGTCGCCGAAGTCTAGTGGAACACCTGGCCATGGATTCCCCTATTTATGCTGTCGCAGTTCTTGCGCGCGGATCCGGCATCAGCGCTGGCGAGATTGCCTCGTTGAACGTTAGGGCCGCCGCAGATGCCGCGGCGCACCGCAAAGCAGGTTGGTTACACGAACATCCAGCCTTCAAGGGGCCCCCGAACAGGCCAACCACAGACTTTGAGCAGCAGATTCTTCCTCATCTGAGCGTTTCTGAGGCCAGTTCCCTCCTCGTTGAGTCGGGCCGCGTATTTTCTGAGAACGCCGTTCTGGCCATGATTGCCCTTTCGGACCCCGAAGCCACTGAGCCGTTGGCCGCCGCTGGCCCCGAGACCCTTGGCCGTTCAGGCCGCGTGATTTCCGAGGCGTTACAAAATCAGACGTTCGT